TATATATCTTAAAACTAATTCTTCACAAATGATAAAAACAGATCACCATATTAACATGATGCATTAAAAAATTGATTTTTTTAAATATTAACTTTAAAATTTAAACTTTAAATGACACTTAAAAAAAAACACTTATTTTTACAAGTGGATCCACTCTTTAAAGTTAAAATTTTTTTTCTTTAAAAGAAAAGAAGAAAAAGAATACTTCTTTTGTCGAAAACAATCTTAGGTACTGCCCCTACATCCTTTTATTTATTTATTTTTTTTGACAAAGGTAATAATTAATAATTAAATTAAAAATTATTAATAATTAAAAATTTATTCCTTAAAATAGGTAATCTCTACTCCTTTATTGAGAGGCGCAGCCCATCCGACCGCACGGTGGAGTCCCTAAACCTAAACCTCCTATATAACAGACCTCCGCGCAGGGTCGCAAAGATAACCTTTTTTTTCAGGAAACAAACGCTTACTCTGTTTTCCCCATCAATAAAATAACACATTGTTTACAGTAGTTTTCTGCCTTTCCCAGTTGCGTGTCACCACACCCAAACCCGGACAAAGATCTCATTGCTTTCTCACTCATGACAGTTGTCCCTAATTAAACAAATTATTAATTCCTTCTCTAGAATTTTTTTTTTTTTTTCTTTTGAGAGTATAAGTTATTATTATCTTGCTAAGCCACACTTACTCTGTTCCGGTAGCTTAGCTTTAGCTTGGTGGGTTCCTGGTTCCATGGAGTTCTTCACTAGATTCCACTACTTGGTTTCAATTTTTCTTCTATTTTCAGGTATTTGAAGTTTGATCTTCTTATGGGTTCGGATTTCTTTTGTTGTTTGTTGTTGAATTTGCTGATGTTTGTTTCTCTGGAAATCGTAAATGCTTTTGCAGGGGATATGTTTCCAATTATGGTATACTCAATTGGGATTAACTACGGCCAGATAGCCAACAATTTGCCGCCACCGGAGAACGTAGTGCCGCTGGTTAAGTCAATCGGCGCCACAAAAGTGAAGCTCTATGACGCAGATCCGCGGGTTCTTAAAGCATTTGCTAACACCGGAGTGGAATTCATAGTGGCTTTGGGCAATCAATACCTGGACAAGATGCAAGATCCGAGCAAAGCCCAAGCTTGGGTGAAACAGAACGTGCAGGCGTACTTACCGGCGACCAAGATCACTTGTATCACGGTGGGTAACGAGGTACTAACCTTCAATGACACCTCCCTCAGCGACAACCTCCTTCCCGCAATGCAGAGCATCCACACGGCGCTGGTGAATCTCGGCCTCGATAAGCAAGTCACCGTCACGACGGCTCACTCGCTAGCCGTTCTCGGAACATCCTACCCGCCGTCCTCCGGAGTTTTTAGGAAAGATCTAGTGGGGTGCATTACCCCAACGTTGGACTTCCACGTCAAAACGGGCTCGCCGTTCCTGATCAATGCGTACCCATACTTTGCGTACAAGGGAAATCCAAAGCAGGTAGCCCTGGATTTCGTCCTCTTCCAACCGAACCAAGGAGTCGTCGATCCGGTGACCAATTTGCGGTACGACAACATGCTACACGCCCAAATCGACGCCGTTTACTCTGCTCTGTCTTCGCTGGGTTACAAAAACCTCACGGTCCACATATCGGAGACTGGATGGCCGTCGAAGGGAGACCCAGATGAATCCGGTGCGACGCTGGAAAATGCCAAGAAATACAACGGGAATTTGATGAAATTGATGTCGAACAAAACGGGAACTCCAATGAAACCCAATTTGGATCTGAACATCTATGTTTTCGCACTGTTTAACGAAAACATGAAGCCGGGACCTACTTCGGAGAGGAATTACGGGTTGTTTAAGCCAGACGGAACACCAGCATACAACCTCGGGATTAGCACGGCCAGTGTCCTCGGGAGCAACACCACCGTCGGTTCGAGCAGCGGAAATTCCGAAACCCCACCGTCCTCCCAATCAGGGTCTTCCACTGCGGGCTATTTGTCTATCTCTGCTGCAGCGGTAAGTTTTGGATAATTTAGTTTATTATTAATATTAGTACTATTTAACTAGAGT